ATTGTATTTACTTCCCCTTGCTGTTCAGGATTGTTGAAAGCAAGTGTGTGCATCGAAGAGGAATTTTCTTCCTGCACTTAATGCTTTAGATCTTAAAGGTGTTTAAGAGCCTTTGATCTACCTATAGGTTAGAAAGTATTGTACACTGATCCTAACTATAGTGAAATCTCTTTCATGTTGAAAGGGGACTGGAGTACCTTCGGAGTGTGAAGGGAACCAGGATATTTCTTGGTGTTCTTTACTTTCTGCACTTTACCGCTTTCATACCATCATTATATTCCAAGAAAGTATAAAATCAATCTCTAAAACCAGAAAATATAAAAACGCCTTCTTTTGATCGATACCCCTCAACCCTTGTTTTGACCTACATCCATAATAAACAAACAAAGTGACTAAAACATGGTTAGCAAATTTAACGGAACCACACCAGAGTTCCGAAGTCCTGCAAAGAAGAATGAAGAAAATGAGTTTTCTTTCCAAAACCATAAACGGCACGTTAATAATTACAGTTAGAGGCAAATAAGAAAGTTAATGTCCTCAGTTCAAGACAGAATCATCATTGGGCCTTTTTCTTCTCTTAAACCAACAGCAAATCGGTCTCAGACATGGGTAACTCGCAAGGATTTTGTTTCCAAAATTGTTTCCATCCCAAGGCCACATCCAAATCATGTCCAAAAACATCCATCACAAATAGGTTCAAACAACTTGTCAAAAAGGAAAAGTAGGATTTGTTCAGACAGTTAAGATTATCATCATCACAGGAAAAAAGCAGCATTGAAAACCCTTCACGACAGCATCAAGGGACCAGGAAATATCTAAAATTATCAAAACATTCCCAAATTGAAATACGACAGATTTGGATACAAAGTCAGACAAACTCAAAATGGAAATATTTCACACCAGAACCGCAATCAACATTCTCCTGAAAGAGAAAAGAGAAAGGTGTTAATACATTTCCAAAAACGAAACTCCAAAATTGAAAGCAAACTTAAACGTGTTTCAAACATGCCTATCTTAAAATGTAAAGTTTTAATGTATTCTTTAATTCGTTTTTGAGAAATCAGCTTATAAAAGGGGAGCTTTTTTCAAACGAAATAGGGGCGGAAGATTTACAAACACACAGAAAATCCACAAAGAACAAATGGGTCACATACAGAAGAAAAAAAACGGAAGCGAAAATCTCAGAAAAAACATCATAGATTCACAAACAATACTCATAACAGAGATCACAGAAATCCACCAAAAAATAGACGGAAACCCATCCAAAACCACCAATCGTCGGATCGCCAATTTTTTCGTTCATTTGGGTAAAGCTTTTCTAATCTATTTTTGTTTGAGTTTTTATGTTATAGTTTGAGAACGGATCGGAGTTGAGGAGAAGAAGAAATGAGAAGAAGAAGATCGTATATCGCGAGAAGAGAAAAGAAAGGTCGCGGAGAAAGAAGAAGAAAGTGAATAAGAGATTGAAAGCGGAAAGGGCGCTGCAGGCTGCTCTTGGGAAATTAGGGTTTCTACAAACCCTTATCCCCCTTTTCTGTTGGCTTGCCCGGACCGGGTTTGGGTCCGGTGGTTTCATCACCACCGGCCCAAACCCCCTTTTTTAGTTTTTGTATTTTTTTTGCTGTTTTTTTTAGTTTTGTATGTATTGGGCTTGGCCCAAGTCTGTCTTTTTTTCTTTTTTGTAATAATTAATAAAATAACCACAAAAACAAATAACAATAATAAAAATATAAAATTATAAAAATAATAATAATAAAAGATATTTAGAAATAGGTTTTTTAATTTAAAATGATATATAATTAAAAATATAAAAAAAAATGTAGGATTTAGTTTCCATTAAGGTTTAATTTAATTTTTTTAATTAAGATACAACAAAATCAACAAAAATAATTTATTTTTATTTAGAGTTTAAATATTTTTTTCTCTTTATAATTTCTTTAATTTTAATAATTTAAGTATTTAAGTTAGATTTTAATTTAATTTAATTTTAGAAACTTTTTTATTAATCTCTATTTTAATTTCCACCTAATTTAATATTCTCAAAAATAACAAAAAACAATTTTCTCTTTAAGTTTGGAACTTCCTCACCACTATCTCTTCATTAATCACAAATCCATTAATCTGAATCTAACTGTTTCTCGATATTCATTCGAACTCAACCTGCATCGCTTTGCTCTATTTGCTTAATATTATTATTTTATGTACGTCCAAAGGAAGAACATGCGCATGACTTCATAAGTCGTGTGTATTGCACCTCATTTTCATCATATTCCCCGCTTGATCCTTGAGTTTTCAAGTCGATAAGCTTAGGCTTTAAATCCTACACCTTAAGAAGGACCGTTTCTTTTTTATCTTTCAACTTAGACAAACCAACATACAATTTAATCTTATTCTCCCCACAAGAGAATTAGACGTGAGTCATCTTGACAGTCGAGATATAATTCTCCTGCCCCATAATATTATCAAGAGATGTAGAATCTTTTCCACTTGAGAGAGGTATGTGGCATACTCGTCGATGAATCTGAGTTTAAGCATTTCTCTTAATACGACGTAAAGACCATCTCCTACAAGTTGTGGTGGTTAAGTCGAGTGTTCTCTGTTAAGATGACGACTCGTCTTTTCTCCTAGAATCAATCAACAAAACCTTATCCCTCTGGAACCTTGGTCATAGTCAAGAAGTTCCTCGATCCCTTTTAGGGGAACTACGAATACTCTGATTTTATTTCCGTCAGGATACGTAGGCACAAGATGCAATTTCTTGGCGAGTATACTTAGAAATAAACCCTTAGGTCTTTTACCCTTAGCAAACAACAATAGCACAATAAAACAATAGGTTCATGTAGAGTACTACAGATTCTTAGGATGCTAGCACCTTCCCTAAGTTTAACCAACTCCCGAACCTTAGATTCTCTAGCTTTGCATTTGCATTGCATCTTGTGGGTAATTCGATTTTTTTCCCTTCCTTTGGACAAATTAAAGACCATTGGTGAACAATGAATTAAGATTCAAGTTAATCAATAATTTGATATCCAATTCTCACAGCGACACTATGAGTTTAATCTTTAAATCCATACCATTACCTACAAGAATCTCATGTGATCCATCATAATTTGTTTATGTTGTAAGCAAGAATTATGGAAAGTAATATGATGAGATGTACCTGAACCCGCGAACCAAGCTTGTGACTCTAAGTTTAGTGGTATGTTAAGACCATCTTGATGTTCCAAGAGAGTTCTTGTTAGTGGTGAGCTTGTCGCTTGACTCTTTTGGTCATCTTTTGATTGAGCTACTTGAGTGTTTGCTTGTATTCTTTGTTGAGATGGTTTAAAGGTTTCATCATAGCGATGTCAATAATCAATGATGTAGTGTTCATACTTGCCACACAGCTGACATGTAGAACAATTACCAGAGTTGGAGTTTGTTCTAGCTATGCCATGAACCCCTGTTATTGTATCATCTACCTCGCGTTGGCTGGTGGCCGCCTCGAGAGTTTCTTGAGCTATGGTTTGCTTCAGTGTGTGACATGTTTGTTGTTACATTTGTGACTGAAAGCTCTTGACGATACTTATCTGGTTCCCGAAATTATAGTATCAATCTGGTATTCATAGATTAAATCCCTAATAGCAAGGAGGGAATCAATCATTATTCGAACTCTTAAGACATATTTTGAAATATATCGACATGCCTTCTTCGTGATCTTCAATTCTGACTTGAGTTGGTGAACCCTATATTTCATTAGCATATTTAAATGTTTATAGATTTGATACCAGACTTCATATGCGTGCTTACACGAAAGAACACGAGGGAACTGATTATGAAATTGTTTAAAAGAGTCATGTGAAGAGAGTTTGATCTTGAACTATCCAAGATTTGTATTCCTCCAATACGATGTTCGTTACACGATCTGCTTTAGATTTGAACATTGGGGGAATTTGGGGGTTTACGACGAATTTATGAAGTTTGTGAGAAAGAATTACCCCTTTAATTTGTTGATTCAAGAGTAGAAAATTATTCTCATGGAGTTTGATTGAGTGTTTTGGTCCAAAAAGGTATTGATTGGAAGAATTTGGAAACAATGCGACTTGCGTTTGCAATGTGTGATTTCCTCCTTGTGATTCTTAATGCAAATCTGCTATATAATGGTGATGCATACAAGATTGAGGTTTCTCTAAAGCTAGATAATGGATAGGAAAAATGCACGAAGAAAAAGATGAAAGGTGAAGCGGAAGAGAGGTGGTGGTGGATCTAGGTGACTGATACCATTTGGAAGTTTAATTCAACTCTTCAATCAATATTTTCTAAATCATTTTCATTTCATCACTTTAGCTATTACATCATTCCATTGAATATGAATTTCGTAAGCTATATATTTCAGTTATAAGTTTACATCTTTATAACAACCTTTGTAACTAATCTAACTACTTACATAATAAATTTTTAATCAACCATTTAACTAACTTTGCTTAACACAATAGTTAACAAAGACTTAATATATTTCTACACTTTAATATTGATTAACCTATGTTTGCACCAATTATAATAGAGTTCCATTATTACATACTCCCTCTGTTCTATATCATAAATAAATTTTACTTTTTAAATATATTGAATAATTAATATATTTAGTCTAGATCAGATACATTAATTATTCAATATATCTAAAAAAATAAAATTTGTTTATAATATAGATCGGAGTAGTATTATCTAAACAAAAAAAAGGTTTGTTTTTCATTTTTCATGTTTAATTTTCTTCCTTGTGACTTAGCTAATTAATCCCAAACAACCAATGCTAATTGTAACAATCTAAGTAATTTTGTTATCAACAAAATATATGACCATATGAGAACTCAAGAAAATCAATAAAAAAGATACATAAGGATACAATACAATTAAGGAGTATCTTTCGAAAAAAGGAAACCAGTGAGACAATTCTTAACTATATATATTCCTATCTCACCAATTATCTAAACACAGAATTCATCAATTCAATAATGAAAGATTTAATAAGTAACACGTACCCCTTGGTACCTAAGAATTTCACCAATAAGCTCCCCTTTCCCTGAACCAACATACCTTCCACAAATCTCCCCATCTCTTATGAACAAAAACGTAGGAACTTGAATCACTTTCATGTCCCCCAAAAACTGCATACAGCTTTCATTCTCATCACCATTCATCCTCGCAAAAACAACCGTATCAATCATTTGTCGCGACAGCTTTATCACTGTCGGATAAACCTTAACACAAGGACCACAATGTTTCAATCCAACATCAAGTACGATAAGCTTATGGTCAACCTTATGATCTTCAATAAGTTTCTCAACGTCTTCTCTGTTATGAAGTTGCACCACAGCTGAATGGTTGTCACCGTAGTATAGCACATCTCCGACCAGCATATCAGGTCCAATAGCTTCTTCTTCGTGGATTTTTACTTTGCTTTTGTAGAAAGTGAAGTGAGGTACTTTGTCTACTTTTTCTCTTTTGCAGAGTTCTTTTGTTTTCTCTGACTCGTCTCCCATGACGAAGATGAACTCAACGTCGTTGCAGGTTCGACTGAGGTCGACTAAGAAAGGGTATATCTCGGTGCTTTCTGGATTTTCTTTGGTGGCGTATTCGACTACTACGAGTTTGTCCTTTGCTGATTCAAGTGCTTGGTCGAATTCTTCTATGCTGTGGACTTTTTGAACTCGTTCATCTTTTTTCTTTGCACCTGGTGCTGTTGTGGCTTTTGTGATAACAACACGAGTCTTGAGGTGAGAGAGTAGCGATGGAGGATGAAAAATTGGTAGAGAAGAACGAAGGGAGTGAAGGGGAAGGAACTTAGGGAGGGTTGTGATAGAAGGAGGGGTTGAGGGTTTGCATATGAAGTTGGTGCAGTGGGTAATTGAAGCCATGGATGAGAGAGGTAAGGATTGGGAATGAAGAGAGAAGAAGAATGGGAATGATAAAAAAGCATATCCATCAAAAGACGTGTGGACATGTTGATTACACGTGTGTTTTGATTTTTCAAATTTCACTTCATTATGTAACTGTGCTAATAATACTATGTGTAAAATAATCTGCATCACAATTCCTTCAAAAAAATCACTAGTCGCCTTCTCATAATTCATAATAGAAAAATGCTATTCCTACACCATTTCCTACACCCAATACTTACACCGTATGCACTATTCACCGTATTTATACGGTGAACAGTGTTTTTTTTATTAAAATAATATATTTTTTTAAAATATTAATTTTTTTTTTAAAAAAGTTTTATTTTTAAAATTTATTTTATAACACAAATATAAGATTGCGCATTAACCAACTTCACAGTTGCATTAACCACAAAAATCTACATTATTAACCAATTATTTTACCTATAATTTATTAACCACTTTCACTACTTCATTAACCAATAAAATACACACTATTAACCATATTCTGGGAAATTTGTTCAAGTATTTGTGAACAGTAATTGAGGTGTAGGGTGTAAAGATGGGTGTCAACATAGCAATCCTGTTCATAATAATGCATCTTACTATTCTTTTAAGTTGGAAATAATATTTTTTTAAATAGTCAATTTTTAGGTTAAAAAATTGAAATTTAGGTTTTCTTGACTGAATTTATATAACTCTAGTGTCATTTTTCTCCCTCATAATTTTTTATTTTCTTTATATTTATTTTTCACTGTTATTTTTAAAAATATTTTTAAACTCTGAAAAATGATAACAAAATATTTTTAAACTATCGTTTTTCTGAAATTCAATATTCACGCCTACTGTGTGAAGTTTCATGTTTAATCGGTGTTGGTCAAAAAAACTATATGAAACACAGAGAATGTATGTGGGATTTAGCAAGATCAAACAAGTTTGTTCAAAGGATCCAAATCGACAAGTTAATCAACGGTGCTTCATGATACATACTACTTAACTTTATGGACGTTTATTCAGAGTATAATTCGTATGATGCGCCTAAAATTGTGTTCATGACCAATAATTACAACTACTATTATTAGGTAATGTCATTTGGTCTTAAAAATGCAGGGGAAATTTATCAAAGACTAATGGATGCCACGTTTTCCACTCAGATTAGACATAATATGGAAGTGTATATAGATGATATGGTAGTCAAAACTACTGGAGAGAATATGCATTATGAAGATCTTAATGACATATTGTCATTAGTGATGAAATACAATATGCGACTAAACCATGCAAATGTTCTTTTGGGGTACACGCTGGAAAAAATTTGAGGTTCATGCTTGTCATACTTGAATCCTCAAAGGTTGTAAAGGTTGTTATGCAAAGTTGTCATACAAGTTTTCATACAAGTTGTCATCATCAAAAGTGCATTACCAATATCAAGCTTTGATTATGTTAAGTAACCTGCAAAACAAAGTTTGATAACCATGAAGGATATTTGGTTTTATTAATAAATTTGACGTCATTTAATTTCCTAATCTCTTCTGTGATGGAGACTCTTTTTCCTTCCCTTGCCTTTCGTTTTCTTTGGATTACAGGTTTGGACTATGCCTTGAAGGTGAGGTGGTGACAAACCATGATTTCATCTATTCTAAACATATTTAAAGGTGCCCGGGCAAATTGATCCAAATTTTTATTTAGCGGCCCAAGAATATCCTCTTTTTTATTTGTTGATAAAGATATTGTAATCTTTAGGTTTGGAAATATTGGGAACCAATTTGTATTATCTTTAACTCTTGGCAAAATACATTTTTTCGTCCCTTAACTTTACCTCGGGGTCCATTTTGGTCTCTTAATTTTTAAAATGTTCAAATTGATCCCTTAATTATTTAAAATGGGTCACTTTCGTTCTTTCGTCTGTCTCCGTTAGTGAGAGTTGAGTAAAAGTGTCCATGTGACTTTGACGTGGCTTGTTATCCTTACGTGGCCTTGACCTGACATTAACATTTATATGTTATGTTATTGTGAAGCTTGACATGTTAAGAAAGCCAAGTGAAGAAAGCAAAGAAAAGCTCATGCAGAGAAAGGTTGAAGGCGAAAATCATCAATTCAGAAAGCGTTTGAGTTTGAGCGAAAGGTTGAAGAAGGCGTTGCAAACAGGTTAGTTAGTTGTTCATTTGTATGAGTTTTATATGCGTTATGTTTTTAATCTGAGACTTTAGGGTTTCTTTAAAAATTAAGGCTTTACATGTTTTCTATATTTTCCAATTAGGGTTTTTAATAATATGGATTATGAATTGAATAGGTGCAACAGATGAGTTTATAGTACTAAGAATTCATCATAGTGGTTAATTAGTTGATGGTGATCTTAGAGTGTATGAAGGAGGGAAAGTTGATGAGCTGAAAGTAGATGCGGACAGATAGAGTTACTTTGAGTTGATAGGTACACTAAAGGACTTAGATTATAAGGATTTTGAGAAAATATATTACAATGACCCAGATTTGGGATGAATTCATTGAATGACGATGCAGGAGCATTAAAAATAGTTGATCTCTATATGGTTCACCTAGGTGTAGACATTTACATTCAACATAAACTTGTTCAGCCTGATTACTTTGATGGGCCTATAGAAGCATAATTAGAAAATGATGACAATGTGAATGAGGGGCCTGATGTGGTTGAGTATGTGCTTTCTAAATTATATGAAAAAGAATCCAATGAAAATGATACTTTCAAAGAAGATGAAAATGTTGGTTTGAATGGGCCTATAGAAGCAAAATTGGATGCTCAAAATGTTGGTATGGATGCACATAGTATTGGTATGGAAGGTGGTGAGGTGGATGATGGTCTAAGTAGTGATGATAGTGAGGATTCTTTGTACAAGTATGATAGTGCTCTAGAGGTAACTTTTGATGATTCTTTTAATGGTTTTGATGATATAGATGAAGATAAGTTGGCAAATCTACTTGAGCATGAACAAATTGATGAAGGACAGTCCAAAAAACAAAAAGAGAAATCAGAAGAAGACAAGGGTGAATTTAAAGTGAGTGATAATGAAAGTGATGAGCTAGTGAGTGGTTGTGACAGTGACGATAGTTGTGGTGTTAAAAAAAAGGCTCACCCAATGTTTAAGATGCAAAAGGACATGGCCGATTTTAAATGGGAGGCAGGTGTGTACTTTAGTTCAAAGGATGATTTCAAGGAGGCAATAACATCATATGATGTCCATAGAGGTGGAAATCTTAAGTTCAGTAAAAATGACAAGGTAAGGGTGAGGGTAAAATGTAAGGATGGGTATGATTGGGAAGCTTATTATGCCAAATTGTCAAATAAAGAAACTTGGCAATTAAGAAAGGTGAATGATGTAATAGTTCTAGCAGGGATTATAACGTGAAGATGATGACTACCAAGTGGATGAGCAAGAAGAAAGCTTCAAGTTTTCTAGGCATGTCATAGGACTTGATGGCTGTTTTGTTAAGGGGTTATGTGGTAGGCAAATTCTGGATGCTATAGGTAGGGATCCAAATGATCAAATGCTACCTGTAGCATTTGCAGTGGTGGTAGGGGAAAATAGGGACAATTGGACATGGTTCTTCGAGTTATTGATTGATGACCTTGAAGGAAAAAATGAATGCCTCACATACACATTCATTTCTGATCAACAAAAGGTATGTGCAAATTATTAAATTAAATTTATTTACAATTTGTTTTGGCTTGTGTGTACATCATAGTATTAATGTTGTTGGCTGTTTTACAGAGTTTACTACCAGCCATGGATGAACTTTTACCTAATGTTGAGCAAAGGTTCTTTGTCAGGCACTTGTACAATAATTTCAGAAAGAAGAATCCTGGGAAGATGCTGAAGGAAATAATTTGTAGAGCTGCTAAATCAACATATGCACAAGCTTGGGAAAGAGATATGAAGGGAATGAGGTTTATCAACGAAGGAGTGTATCTTCATATGATGAAGACGCCTCCAAGATTTTGGAGTAGATCTTATTTTAAGGGAATTAACAAATGTGATGTTGTACTCAATAACATGTCAGAATCTTTCAACAGTGTTATTCTTGACTCAAGGTCCAAACCCTTAGTCACCATGGTGGAAGAGATTAAAACATACTGTATGGAAAGATGGGCAACAAATAGAATGAGGTTTCAAAATCTACCTAGTGATGGTTTCTTGCCTAATATTGGGAGGAATGCTGAAAAAACCAGTAGTTACACCAACTTATGGATTGTGAGGTATCTCTCTTGTACACCAAATTATGACATTTATATTGTGTATTTTATTGTCCATATGTATGCTGATGTAGGATGTCTGTTAATGTAGGATGCTTGTTGAACATATGTTTGAGGTTAGACATGTTGAAAATGTTACAAACATATTTGTTGTGGATTTGAAAGAAAGAGTATGCTCTTGTAGAAGGTGGGTCTTAACTGGAATGTCGTGTGTTCATGCATTGTCATGTATGAAAAGTAGGAACTTCAAAGTTGAAGAATACATCCCTGATTATTATAGGAAGTCAATGTACATGATAGTCTACTCACTTATGATTTATCATGTAAATGGATCAAATCTATGGGTGAGAGATGAATATCCAAATGTGCAACCTCCTAAATATAGAAAGATGCCTGGAAAACCAAAGAAAAGAATAAATCGTAAGCAAGGAGAGCTGGATGGGACTGCCAAAAAGATGAGGAGAATAGGATTTGTTATTAGGTGTTCTAGGTGCAAACATCCAAGGCACAACATATCAACCTGTAAGGTGACACCAATTACTCAAGGCACTCCATAAAATGCTCAAGTTTCTTAACAAACAAAAGGTTCTCAACAAACACAACCAAGAACTCAAAGTACTTAACATGTTGCTCAATGTACTCTGAACTTTCACCTGTTTTCTTGAAAAATCCCAATAGTGATCCTTTAAAAGGTTGAAGGAGTTTTGATCAAGTTGTAACCTTTAAAATGCCTCTCAATATAAAACATTGGTTGAACTCCATGGCCAACGAGGACTCTTTTTATATATTGCATGGAATTCAAGGATTCTCTGGGTTTCATACAAAATAGTTCAAACTCTTATGTAAACATGTTGACCTTAGAATCCTTGACGTCATCTGTTCTCTCATAGATATTTTGGAAAGCGTCTCACATGCCTTTATCATTCATATGATTTGAAATTGAGTAGAATACTTTTGCGCTTAAAGCGAAGATAAGTATGTTCCTCGCTTTGAAATCATATGAAGCCTTTTTGGTTTCATCATTTAACCAATCTTTTAGGTGTTTCACAATGATATCTACTCCTGTAGGAATAAAGGTCCTTCGGTGACGGCTACCCATAGATTTTTGTCAACTGATAGTAAGCGTGCGTACATGTTCAATTTCTAATAAGTATAATTTTCTAATTTACAAATAGGTGATCTTTTATACGCTCCCTTTAGATCATCAAATTCCTCCATATTTTTAAAAACTTTTGGATCAAATTCCTCCATATTTTTAAAAACTTTTGGAGTTGATCATACATAATCAAAAAAACCAAACTCTAGTAGAAATTGTTGGGTGAGAATATGGAGTAGTGAAATGGTGTAGAGTGGGGTGAATAAACCCAAAATATTTTTAATTAATTCTCCAAAAAGGATTATCAGAGATTTTTCAAAAGTGTGCGCGGAAGCATTAAAATGAAATTATGAAGATTATACTTTTATTGGAATTAATCAAATCAACACTCATTCAATTTACAAATACCACTTGATGGTTTATGATGATACACAAAGGTACTCAATTGTTTCAGTTGTATATGCATGAGATATGTTTATACAATGATTCAATATCAATAAATTCTAACCTCATTAGTTTCTCGGAGTTTAATCACCACTAAAGCTTGATTAGGCACAAATTCTAAAAAAAACTTAACATTACGTAATAAAGTGCTACCAAACAAATGAACGATTAACTACGCTAAGAAATAGAAACCTAAGCATGAAATATCCAACGAAAAACTAAATGAAAAAATGAGAGAGAGAGAGAGAGAGAGAGAGAGAGAGAGAGAGAGAGAGAGAGAGAGAGAGAGAGAGAAGAGAGAGAGAGAGAGAGAGAGAGAGAGAGAGAGAGAGAGAGAGAGAGAGAGAGAGAGAGAGAGAGAGAGAGAGAGAGAGAGGGAGGGGGAGGGAGAGAGAGAGAGAGAGAGAGAGAGGTTTGGCATTCATCATCGTTTTTCCTACTACACTCTTTAATGTTTTTCCATTAGAACCTGCTTTATTACTTTTTTATTTTGACAAATATTACAAAAGTTCATACAATCACCAATCCACAACAATGCTGAGAAAAATAAATCTTCTAGCTGGATTTTGACTTTTACACAGCATAATGCCAAACTCGCATAATCTTTACTCGATTCACGCTTCTTAAACCTTCAAGTATCACCAATATTCTTATAGTTTTTGTGTGTCGCAATCACCCTTGATCCCACCAATATCTTGAGCGATGAACTATCTAAAGGTTGAGAAAAACTCCACCTTGTTTGTAGTCTTTCACACGGTCATTACCAAGGTCACCTGGAGAGAAAAACCTCATTCGTTTCATTGGAATTCGTCAGCACCAATGACAATAACATCAATCTTGCAAGCTTCCTGAAAAGCTCAACCAAATCTTCAAGAACGATTAGTTTCAAGACGACGTCTCCCTCAATCAATTACAAATCTCTCATGATAAATATTGAATCAAAAGAAGTTGAAAAAGAAATAATTTTGTTTGCAAGAGTCTTTGAGCTCTTAAAAGTGAACGTTTTGATTGTTAATGAAATGAGATGGGAAAATGATTTCATATGTGCTTTAATTAATCACAAAATGGATGAAAAACGTTAGTTAGATTCTATTTAAGAACATTTCATGATTTGAGTCAAAAGAGCAAGTGAGGTGGAATAAGAAAACAATAAGATCTTAATCCATTTCTCATGTGATTCAAATCAAGTATAAAGACTTATTCGAATCAGAATCAAATGCAAACTCTGGTTCAAATCAATTTGTGCAGGTCCAAACAAGAAATGTGAAAAGCTGGACTAATTTGAGTCAGATGTAACATCTAATTCGAATTAAATGAAGCAGAGGTGACCCAAATTAGTCTGGTTCGAATCAAGTGTAACTTGTGATTCAAGTTACAAGGCTAACTGATTCGAATCAAGTGTAACTTGTGATTCAAGTTACAAGGCTAACTGATTCGAATCAAGTTAAAAGTCTGATTCGAGTGAGAGTGTTTGAAAAACTTTAGTTTGCCTCCGTTCAATTTGATTTGAGTCAGGATATGTAGTTTTCAAAATACTTTGAGATTTTTCTTTGCACGTAATTTGAATCAATAACATACATGGTTCTTAATCCACTGTTTGACTTAAACCATCATGATCAAACCTCAAATATAACAATTGAATTATGCATGCAGAGAAACAAATTGATTCAGAGATGTGTAAACATGAAAGGAACTCAAAAAATAAACACAAACATAATACTCTATCTATCTCTCACTCACACACGCGTGCTTCATCAAGGCTATTAACCATTCAACTCTTTGTATACTTGTTGAAACGACTAATTATGGTTTCTCTCTCATGTGCTTCATCAAGGCTATTAACTACTCAACTCTTTGTATTCTTGTTGTAAGAACTAATTATGGTTATGGACAAGTCATTGATACTGGGTTTGTACCCAGTTATGTCCTTGTACCAACCATGAGATCACCTGAACTCGCCCTTCTTCCTTTGCTAGCCTTTTCCAACCTCTGTCTATATATATCCATGAGCACGGCCATCACAAATGGAATAGTAGAAGTTGGTGTAAACATATTGGTTAATAGTCCCTAAGAAACCGTTTGAAAGAGCAGAGTATTTTAGCTCAGAAAAAAGTTGGACATAATAGAAGTTGGTATATTTATACATGTACACAATCTCTCAAATACGAGTCCAGTAAATATAGAGTATTTTAACTTTTAAAAAAATCAAACATTTCAAAACTGATATAAACATACCTCTTCGAAGTACGAACAGAATTATAAATACACATAAATCATTTTTGAACTACGCATAACAACTCTCGTACTCCCTCTGAACAATGAATTTAAAAACAAATTATTATTCATAACAGTGACAGGAGGAGTAAGTTATAGTATGTGAGGCTGGAAAAGTCGTTTTTATTCTGGCAGAAAAACATAAGCACTTGTCAATTTAGTGGCTTCCTAGATTGTGCACTCAAAGTGGCATCTTTTAAGATATTAGCTTCGAAACATGACAATTTAGCATCCTAGATATCACTAGAATAGTAGATTTTAATGATACAAATAAAAGAGGCGTGTCTAGAATCGAACATAAAGTAAAGAAAGCATATTATAGTAATTATTATTAATCTGTAAGCGCCGGAGACATACGTGAATGTATCAAGGTTTTGGGTACAAATCCAAAACCTTTTTCCATGACTGACGAGTGGATATCTCCGTCCACCACCTCCTCACGTTCTCTCTCTCAGAAGTGAACAGAGAAGCCGTATCATCATCAGTACTCACCAAGTAATGAATATTGGGAAGATGTGAAAGATCTGCGAGTGTGAACTCGTCACCGGCCAAGTAACGAGTTTCCCCAAGCTTCCTATCGTACACATCAAGCACTTTCCTGAGCTTTTCTTTACTCTGTTGGATTGCTCCTTCGTCCTGCTCGACCTTCATTCGAGGAGCAAAAGCAAGCTGAAACACCAGAGTTGAAGAGGGTGGGTTGAAGCTCTGTCCTTCAGCCTCCAACCATTGATCTATAGATGCCTTTGCCAGTGGGTTTGTACCGTACAGTTCCCTGTTTCCTTTCTCTATGTGTTTCTCACAAACATACCGGCATATGGCTCTAGACTCTGATTTACAATTATTTATTTTGTTAATTAATTAAGTAAGAAGCAATAAGTTAATAAATTAGTTACTAACCGAAGAGGGAAATGTGGTCATCTTGAAATGCAGGTACTTGGGCAAATGGCTGGAAGGAAAATGAGACAGAAAATGAGTAACAAGGTTAGGTAAGGGTTGAAGTGAAGCGATATAGCTTACATGGATTTTGAGGAAATTAGGGCTTCGATGTTCTCCTTTGGACATGTCGACAGGAACGAGTTGAAATTGAACGTCTTTCTCGTTGAGACATGTCAACACTCTGGAAACCGCCGGGGATAAGGCTGGTCCGTACACTTGCACCGGACTTCCCATTCTTCTTGTACTCTAACTTTCACAACAATGCTTTGCTTTGCACCGGACTTCCCATTCTTCTTGTACTCTAACTTTCACAACAATGCTTTGCTTGCTTTTTACTCATTCCTATCTCTCCAACGTTGCTCTAGATTAGGTTGGTGGGGACCACTTCATAATGCATATGCCCAATTCAATTTCCTTTTACTTTATTCTTTCCCTAAACTTGCTCTTTTTTATAAATTCTTTAAAACTACTAGTATCTCTAATTTTAAAATATACACTAATTTTCGTTAAAATCACCTTTCGAGCATGAGAAAATAATATATCCTATTCTCCAACTTAATTCAATTTAGTTGTGATAGTTGGATCCAAAAAAATCTTCTTGAAAAGAATAGCATTATACTCATTACAAAACTCTTTTTTCAAAGTTGGTTTTGTTTTCTTATATATTCATACAAAAAGCAAAATACAACCATCCTTAATTACCAGTCTAACATCACACTTTTTTTCTTCATTGCATACACTTTTCTATTGCTACCTTTTGCAAAAGAAAATGCACTCGCATCAACCTTGCATGATTTATTTTCTCAACATATATACAAAATACAATTTACAGACAATTTTCGGATTTTAGTTGATTTTTTTTTTATTCCAGTAGTCATATCATACTCCACAAATTGAATCCCACTGGAATTATGAACATAAATAGTGTTCTTTTTCTATATATGTACATGTGTCTTCAAGCATTTCACAAGTAACGTCGTGTTGGCCAATGACTATATTTTGTCATGTTTATGTGTTTTTTTTGCCTTAACCTTTACCTTCTTTTTCCCTGCAATCTGTATACATATACGTATATAAGAGGGGAAAGGCATTTTAGAAGCTTACACAAGACAATGATAAGAGGTCAATCTAGTCATATTCCTTTCCATACCTTGCTGTTCATGTGCTGTAGAAACTTAAGAACTTCTGAGAATTCGGGCCTTAAAGACGGATCTTTATGCCAACACCAGTGAAGCAATTCCACTAACTTTGGATGTGCATCCCTTGGAATTTCAGGCCTCAAATCCTGCATTTTAAGTACCTCAAATCTAGTCATTTTTTACTGAATTATTTTGTGCAGATTACAAATTAATAGCATTTTCTTATCTTGCAAATCCAGTGAGTGACAGCGGTTTGTCATCCTTGAATTCTCTTTAGTGATACGATAGGATGCCCTTCATTCAAAACACTAGTGTCATTTCAATGACACTGGCAATTTCTTGGTAACAGATAATTCTAAAATATAACTACTAATAGATTATAAGTTCAACCAATCCCACCCTTCCAAAAAAGCAATAGGTAAAAGGATTAATGTATAATAATATAATTGTTAAATGAATACCTTATGTACTACTCCAACTGCTGCTTGCAATGGGGACAAATCTTCATAAGGAAGCTGTGATTCAATCACAAAACATAGATCATAGGTTGAAATCAAAGCAATCTTAATTGAATGAAAACCACATGAATCAAGTCTTTGAAATTAATATAACGGTTGTTATTTTCATTTCCAAGTTAAATGTGTATACTTATTTTTAAGGAACTGAAATTATAACTATTTACTTTTCTGCTGGAAAGGTGAAGAGAAAGGATTGCCTCTTCGAACTTAGCTCTTCAATGTTAGTGAGAAATTTTTTTTAGAAAAAGTAAAAAATGTGGGGATCATTACCTTTCTTGTAAGCAGCTCCCAAAGAATAATCCCAAAGCTGAAAACATCGGCTTTATGGTTATATGGCTTATGTTGAATAACCTTTTAAATTTCAAGGGAATCACAAGTTATAATGAGTCCAAAACATGGCATGTAGGATGTTGATAAATTTGAAAGGAAGTAATCAACACTATATACAAATATATCTATCAATATACACATGCCTCTGGAGCCATCCACCGGTAGGTTCCAGTTTCTGCAGTCATTATACCAGATTGATCTTGCAGTCTAGCTACACCAAAATCAGCAACTTTAACTACCTGCTGGATAAATTTTTGAACAAAGGTCACATTGGCATGAGTCCATATGTTGTGCTATGTAAATTTTTACAATGCCAAATGGAGCAAGAAAACAAATCAGACAGTTTTTAATTCCTGATTTTTATCAAGGTGACCTTTTATTCACAATGAACTATTTCCTTAAAACTATGTAAAATATACTTTGTTCTTCATTTCAACTGATATAAAATTGTTTTGCACTTCTAATGATATGCATAACCAGTCAACTTGAAATTTCATGCACAAGAAGATGGCATGCAATAATATACTTCAAACTGTATGCACAACCACTCAACTAGAACTTTAGAGTGATTTAAAGTGTTATTGTATGATTTGAAAGCATTAACTAAGAAACAACAAACTGTAAAATCAAAAGAAAGAAAGTAATAATTACTTACCCCCATCTCATCCATCAAAAGATTGGCAGTTTTGAGGTCACGATGTATGATGTTGTTTTGATGCAAATATTTCACTCCTTGGGATACATCAATTGCTACTTTGAGCAAAGAAGGAAGAGTGAGTATGGTCTTCTGTATATGCAGAAAGTCATACATACTGCCGCCAGACATATATTCTGAGAAAAATTAGATTATGTAAATTGACAATAGTTTCCGATACTCCTTTCTGTAACAAAATATAAAATAAAAATAAAAAAATCGAGATTAGTTACATCTAGACTGTTTGTTACCTGTGACAAGATGAAAGTTTGGTTTTGTACACGCACCAATAAATTTGATAACATTCTTGTGCTGAACTTTACTGAAATAATTCAATTCGAAAAATCAATGAATAATTCAATTCAAAAAATCATAGAATCTAATTCAATTCAAAAAAGCTGCCATAAAAAAAGGGTGGCAATTGAAAGCAACTTTGTGTTTCATTTCATCTATCTCTAACCTTGGATGGTAGTATTGACGTATTTATATAACACACCTAGAGTGTAGCAAAAATTTGCATGTAGATTTAACTTTAGGATAAGAACCCATGAGTCTATGGTATATTTCATTTTTACTATATATTGGGTGAATCGAGTGAAAGAGCTAGTCTTTATATCCAATAAAAATGACAGGTTACATTTCTACAAATGATACATTAATTCAATGTATACAATGGATGAGTTGAAATGGAAAAGGGGGGTAATGAATGGACATTGTGATAGATAGAACAAACCTCAGGATAAAGATTTCCTGAGAAAACTCCCTCTGTGTATTTCCATTCAGACTACCATTCTTAAAGACTTTGATAGCCACATCTTGATTAATATAAGTGCCTTTGTACCTGTGTCAATCAAGAAGAAACTCAACATGTATTGATTCAAAAAATATCAGAGATTAAATGATAATACTCACAAATCACTGACTGATCCAGAGGCCATTTTCTTCTCATATCTTATACAGCTTGCATCAATTTCCCATACATAATTTCTACTGATGGGTTTACAGTTCATCCCAATTTTCTCTAGTTTCTCCTTAGGAAGACTGCACCAGGGATGCTTCTAGGTTTCAATTCAAAACAAGAGTTACAAATAATGCCCAACTAAAAGATAACTGAAAGCCTTAAGAGCAACAGAGCTTAATTCTAACTTCATATTATTTGCAAAAAGATTATATTATTCTACAACATTGTGAACTTCTTGTAGATGTTTGTTAGTCCATAATCTAAAAACAAACTCTTTTATCGCTTTCTGTATAAAATATGAACGATCTTTATGTTACTAACAAGGATGACAACTACTCTAAACAATGTGTCATAATAACATCTGTCCACTGAGAGGTTGATGTTTTTTGGAGAGAGGGACATGGATATTTTTTATTAAGAGTAAAAGTAAATATGAAATCAAATTCAATGAACTAAAGATGTAACAAGTAACATAAAAATAACTACCTCGAGTTTCTTAATTTTCTTTGTTGGAATATGTTTTAGTATCTCAATCTCCTGTAAATTCACATATGAACATTAATTATGTTAAAGCAAAGAAATTAGACACCAAAGCAGGGTCAAATAGTACTTCTCTGGTTCCCCCTTTAATTCAACTAAAACATGAGTTCATATTCCCTAGTACATCATATTGAGGTCTAACTTCTAAAGCTAGCAGGTTACCAAACTAACATGCAATTGATTTGAGAAAAGTTCTTCAGTTGCTAAAATAAAGACAGATTAATTAACTTATCATTCCAACTTATATTCAAATTGTTAAATTTAGTAACAAGAGAATTGAACTACCTACAAAGCATGAATTATAAGTGAGATTATAGGGGAAATATAGAGGTATACCTTGGGAAAAGGAGACAAGGGAAACCATTGATTTTTCTGGTAACAATTAAAATTGTATCTTAGAACATATTCAGTATGCAGGGTTGTATCAAGTGACATACAAATGAGGCATACCTCGAGTTTCTGCATTTTCTTTGTTACTTCATGCTTGAGCCTCTCGGTGTCCTATTAAAGTTCATGCATGGAGAATAATCAAGTACCTTATTACGAAGTAATTCAAGACAAAAGCAGTGTTCAATATAGGATATCCTACTCTGTTAAAAAGAATTTGTATAGTACATCCATTTAAGTCTAAGAGCAATTCAAACAGGTTGCCAAACTTATATATACAATTGTCTCAAAAGAAGCTCTAAGTTGACTAATTAAAAGTGGACAAAATTTTCAACTCAGTTCCAATTCCTTCGCAATCTGTTTTCACTTAAATAAGCTACTGTTTTAAGAAGTATGAAAAGATACCTGGCCTTCCCAACCATCAACTACGAAAACATCCAATGAATATCCATCCAATGTGGAAAAGGCATGTGCTTCTTGAATGTTCAGCCCAATTTCAGATAGTAAGGTAGTCAACTGTAGTCACCATACCAAACATTTCATATTTAAAAACTATCTTTCTATTTATTACCAAAAATCTTGTAGAACTAGGAGTGCCATATAACAATGCACTATGTGTTATTACTCTAACCATTATGCAATGAAATACAAAGAAATCATTCTTG